TTCAAAGCCCAAATGCTGGGAAATTGAAACATGTTGTTAGGTCTGGAGTGAATCCCCTATGTCAGGAGCATGCAAAGTGTGATCTGTGGAGTATGTGCAGGGCCCCCAACTTCACCCATAATACCAACAACTCCTGCAAATGAGGGTCTAAGCTAGCCTGTTGTCTACTGAATGCTGCCCTGCCATCAACACTGAAGCAAAATTCAACTTCCTATTGAGTCGGCTTCTTACGTAGAAAGGACGCTTCGCTTCATACAATTGCAGAAGGCGAGTCCATGTTCTTTTTGTTCACAGTATCCAGAGTCAACAGAGTGCATGAGGGAGTGTCGGCCCAGTCGTCTGGCACAGAAGGTATCCTCCCTTGTCCTGTTCCCTAGTATCTGCTGACTGACATGGCTGCCTCACTCAGCCCTGGGGCAGGGTCTGTCCTAGGCTTGTCAGGCTCCCAGCTGGAGCCTCCAGCAATGGTGTTGCTTCTCAGGATCTACAGATGGAAAGGGCAAATCTCAAAGTCAGCTGTGCTGGAAGAGAAGAATTTTTTTTGTTTTGATGTGGCTTGAAATCCTGAGCACCATCTCTTCCCTGCCATCTTCCTCCTGCTAGTATTCAGTGGCTCAGTGTGAAGTTGTTTTTTATGCTGTACTTGTGTACCATCAGCACATTAAAAATCCAGGAACAGGATGTGTGTCCTTTTGTCCCTCGTCCAGCTGGCAAATTCCTTTTCTCTTTGCTCTGGATCACCACGTGGTTACCCAGTTACTGTGGTTTCACCTGGTTTCTGAGCGCATTTACTGAGATGCTCCTCGTGACCTAAGAAGCAGGGTTAGCTTCCCTCCCAACCCTTGCCTGCCCTGCCTCCGTGACATCACAAGGACCCGCCTACCGGTCCTAGAGTTTGCCTCTACAATCTCAGGGGATATTGTGTTCCTGGCCTGGCAAACCTCATCTGCCATAAGGGCCCAGCCAGGTCCCCAAACACTCTCAGCTAGATTTTTTTTTAAAATGTCATAGACATTTTGAAATTTTGATATCTTAACGTACGGACCTGCAGCAAAAAGTTGAACTATTTATTACTTTATTACTTGGATTAATGATGGTTTTCTCCCTTCCATAAAAATACTTTTATATAGCCAGCTATATTTCACAGGAAAAGATGCTGGGGATAGAGATATGGCTATATATACTTGGCAGTCTAAAATAGAAATTTGTTTTACAGCAAAGTGCTTAACAGCAAGTATAACCTGAAGATAAGCTTTCTTATACAATAGCACCACCACTGGTTCAATTCAGTTTGGTGAGGACTGGCTTTATATATACCGTCCAGAGTAATGCAGCTTTGCTTGGCTGTTCCTGCTGACCCACATGTCTATTTAGTGCTCTCTAAAATAATAATGAAGGGTGAGATATTGGCTGTGAATCTGTCCTTTAAACACACCCTAATCAGTTACCGAAGAGCAAGTGGTGAGATGGCAAAGGGCCTCTTTTCCAGAGAAGCTGTTCCACAGTCTGAGAACTACCTGGATGGTCTTCTCCCTTCTGCATACTTGTTATGTCTCAGATGGCAAGGAGATGTAGACAGAGAGTGTCACCTTTTCTTCTTGCTTCTCTCCTACTGGAAGCTGGATACCATCAGAATCACTTTGGGAGTGACAATTCTAAATAACAGCACTGAGTTGCATCCAAGCCAGTCCCCAAGGTTCTTTACCCATCAATTTCTGTGATGCAGCTGCACCAATATGGATGCTTATGAGTTGGCCAATTCACCCTCTCGTACTTCTGGTCTCCTGGCTGCAGCAATGTCTGGAGTTTCCAGCCAATCATGCTGATGATGACTCAACAATCTGTTACAGAGCTTTGAAATTCTTGTAAAATTCCTTTTGCTATGCAGCAGAAGTATAGAGCCCCACAGAAGAAAATAGCTACAACTTCCCCAGAGTCCATCCCTTTTTCATTAACTGGCTCTTAAAAGTCTCGGAAATTCACTCAGACAGTTGTAGGAGAAAGAATAAAAACATAATTTACAGTTCCTTGAAATTAGATTTGAGCATGATGCTTTCTTTACAACACACATACTTGCAACCAATTGAACTGATCAACAGCAAACAAGCATCTGCTTTCAAACCAGGAAAGAGAGGAAAGAGCACTCAGGAGAAAAATGAGGCTCTCTTCGAATTCAATGGCTAGAGGGAAGGATTGGTTAGATAATAATCCCAGCCTAGAAAAGTCCTTCCAAGTCACACAAATTACAGACAGCATGCAAGGTTGCAAAAAAAAATTCCAACAAAATCTCCATCCTTGCCTTCCTCATGTGCAAACTTTGCACAGGATTCACCATGCTTTTCCTTCACCTCTCAGGAATGATTAAAGAACGATTTTGACAGCTTCCTCCACGCTTGCAAAACAGGTGTTTTCAGGACCTAAGCTTCGCAAGACAGCGATTTAAACAGCTGATCAGCGGTTCGCAAAGCGGCTTTCCTATGGCCGATCTTCGCTAGACAACGATGATTCTTCCCCATTGGAAGTTATTAAACAGGTTTCAATGCATTCCAATGGGGAAATGCTTTTCGCTAGACAATGATTTCGCTAAACAGCTATTTCAGTGGAACGGATTATCATTGTCTAGCGAGGCCCCATTGTATTAAAAAGGATCAAGCAATACCACACTAAAAACAGCAAACAAAGCAACACCCAAGCACAGTCAGTGCAGTAAGGTACAACAATACATTTGACAGGCAGCTAGACACTGAGAGAAGTCTTACCTGAAGAGAAATGTCTTTGCATGCTTGTGGAAGGACACCAAAGGTGGGGCCAGCCTGGCTTCCTGTGGGAGCAAGTTCCAGAATCTGGAAGCAACCACAGAAAAGGTTATATCCTGTGTCCCCATCAAACATGCCTATGAGGATGATCGGAGCAAGAGAAAGGCTCTTAATACCTGAGCAGGACCAAAGCATTTTGTCGCTGTTATCTTTGAGCAAATCTTGGTGATAACAACAAGGACTGATTCACTACTGCTGGCCTTCTCATTTAGAAATTCCTGAGAATGGCACAGTAAAAATATTTTAAATAAAATAGGTAAGTAAAGAATTTGAGACTGCAATATGTTTTTAAAAATTATTTATTATCACAAGGAGAAAACGCTGTAGCCAGGATGATTTCTAATAATCACTTTTTCCAACCACATTCTGCTGCTTCTGGTCAGAATATGTGAGGTTCCAATTTGTTTCCAAGCCTGATTAAAGGCTCCAATTACTTCTAAATAAAAGTTTCCAACCACATTCTGCTGCTTCTGGTCAAAATATGTGAGGTTCCAATTTGTAAAGGCTCCAATTGCTTCTAAAGAAAAGAAATCCAATCAATGCAGCACTTATGTGCATGCAATTTATGGCCCACCACATGGACAAAAGAAGATACTGTGTCTAGCAAATGGCTATTTAAGTGGCCTGCTTGTGGTCAAAACAGTCTAATTGTCTTAAGATTTTAATGTGTTTTAAAATTTAATCCCTATTTCATATACATCCATAAATTAAAATTGTGCAATGTTCCGATATGAATAGAGAAAGAATGACTTATAAAGATAAAAAACAGTCTAATTGTCTTAAGATTTTAATATGTTTTAAAATTTTATCCATATTTCATATACTGTATGTCTATAATTTAAAATTGTACAATGTTCCGATATGAATAAAGAAAAAAAGACTTCTAAAAACAGAAATCACTCTGGGCTAGAACATTTGAAGGACCACATATGTGTCAGTTGTTAGCATCTGTGAAGATGCTGTTTTGCTTTTCACAAACAAGATAAATGCAGTTGGGAAAATGTGTGATAGAACATTTATGGGAGCCACATCCAAATTTTGAACTTTCTCTCAAGGAAGTTTATAGTCAAGCAGTATATGCCAGCCCTATGAAACTCTGGGCTAGAACATTTGAAGGACCACACGTGTCAGTTGTTAGCATCTGTGAAAATGCTGTTTTGCTTTCCACAAACAGGATAAATGTGATTGGGAAAAATGTGTGATAGAACATTTATGGGAGCTGCATCCAAAGTCTGAACTTTCTCTCAAGAAAGTTTGTTGTCAAGCAGTATATACCAGCTCTATGAATGACTAACTTCCAGATCAGTTCTACTCTTGCAAACTTGAGGCTGTGGTTTCCTTTATTGAATCAATACATCTCATATTTAGTATTCCTCTTCTGCTACCTTCAACATTTGCTAACATTATTGTCTTTTCCTCTCCAGTGTTGCCTTCTCACAAGACAGCTTAAAATGAACTTTTACACACAGCAGCATATTTCTAGAAAGGCAAAGAAAATCAGATCCATATTCAGAATGGGACTAAGTCATTCCAGACAAGTATCAAAATCATACAACTATTTTGTTGAATTACATTGTGTCTTCTCCGGTTGAGTGCTGTTTTGCCTTCATTACTTGAAATGTCTCAGCCATAAGCAGCTTTTTAAAATGTAATTTTTAGTGAAAAAGACACATTTTTTAAAAAATTTGCTATGGGATGCCATTGTTCAATATTCTTCAAGTTTTGCCTTTTTATATCCTGTTTGCTTCATTAATTCAAACTGTTTAAAATATTTATGTATTATCTAGTATGTATTATTTAGTTATTTATTAGTAGGGAATGCCTTCATTCAAAATTAAAAGTTTCGACTCCTAACAATCTCGTATTGCTTTTTGTTATCTAACGTAATTTCATTAATTTGTGTAAAAGTGCAGAAAACATGCCTCCACACAGTTTATAACTCCCCATTTCTGGAAAAACGTCCGTTGGCCCCGCCCCTTACTTTCTAACGGCTCCTTCTTCGTCCCCGCCTCTTCTCCCGCCCGTTAACCTTTCCCTCTCTGCTATTGGCCCGCCAACCCGGCCACCCCCTCTCTCTTTTCCTATTGGCGACCGCCCCATCGAAGAGGCGGGGCGAGTCAGCCTTCCGGCCAATGAGCGAAAAAAGCGGGAGCCTCGTCCTCGACGGCCATTGGCGGAGAGGAATCCCGGCGAAAGGAGCCTCATTTGGGGGGGGACGAGTGAGAGAGTTATTTAAAGATGGCGGCGGTGGCGGCAACGGTCAGCCGAAGGCGACTTTTGTGAGGCGGAGGTGACTTAAAAAAAAGAGGGGAAAGGAAAAGAGAAGGTTCCCCGGGACGGCGAAAAAGAGGCGAAGGGAGGAAGAAAAAGACGACGACGGTGGTGGCGGCGGCGACTCTGCTGCTGAGCCTTCCTTCCTCCCACAGGCCCGGTTTCTTCCCCCCCACTTTGGTGAGGGAGGAGGCGACCAAAAGTGAGCCCTAGAGAAAGAGAAAGCGCGGCAGGGACACGCCGGGCATGGCCCAGGTGGGTGCCGGACCCGTGGGCTCCGGCAGGGCGCGGTGAGGAGAGCGGGGCCTTGCGCGGCCTGGCCGCCTCTCTCTTTTTCCTCAGCCAGAGTCCGCCGCCGCCGCTGGCCTGCCCCCCTCTCTCGCCGCCTCCGGCCCGCCTCCCTCTTTTTCCTCAGCCAGAGTCCTCCGCCGCCGCTGGGAGGGTGTGTTGGCGGCGGGGGTGGGTGGGGATAACATCACTTTCCATCTCCCTCAGCCTTGCCTGCTAGCCTCCTTCCTCGAGGTCGTCTCTTCTTTCCCCACCCCAAATTTCCTGTCACGAACCCAAGGAGGGGGTTGGGGGCTCCCAAAGCGGGCCTCTCCTCTCTGCCCCCTTTTGGAAGGGGCTCCTCTTTCTCTTTTTGTCCGTCAGGGGAGGTCATGGGGGGGGGGAACTTCTTTATGTTATGCTCCAGTCATGACTTCCAGACTGTTATAAAAAAAGTAGATGGCATCTTTTTGGTAGCCTCGACTATGACGGACCCATTTAAGATTTGTCTAAATGTTGGTTCACTGTTCAGCTGTTGATTCTGTAGGTCTGCTCTGAGTGCCACTGGTAATTGGGTTGCTGTTTGTACCTGTGGTGTAGTCATAAAACACTGTTGAAACAGAGGCCAGGTCTACTTTCTTTGTTAATAGTAATTTAAAATATTATTAACGTTTTAATATTTTTAATACATAAAAGGGTGGAAAAGGCTTTCATCTGCTTAATTTGCCTTGTTTGAGCTTTGATGATCATAAGAATAGGTTCATTGAAGTGGCCACACTTGTTGATCCTTACTGTTTGACTTGATAAATATACAGTGGTGCCTCGCTAGATTATGATTATCCGTTCCACTGAAATTGCTGTTTAGCGAAATCATTATCTAGCGAAAAGCATTTCCCCATTGGAATGCATTGAAACCTGTTTAATGCGTTCCAATGGGGAAGAATTGTCGTTGTCTAGCAAAGATCGGCCATAGGAAAGCCGCTTTGCGAACCGCCGATCAGCTGTTTAAATCACTGTCTTGTGAAGCTTAGGTCCTGAAAATGCCTGTTTTGCGAGTGCGGAGGAAGCTGTCAAAATCATTGTCTAGCGAAAATCGGTTTGCGAAGCAGGGACCAAACATTGTCCAGCGAAATTCCCCCCATAGGAATCACTGTTTTGCGAATCACTATAGCGATCGCAAAAAGTCAATATCTAGTGAAAAAACTGTCATGCGGCGTAACTGTCTAGCGAGGCACCACTGTATAGCAAGGTTGCTTTAGGTTAGATATGAACTAGCATCACAACATTGACTATTTTTTCCACATTATAGAAAGGATGCCTTGCTAGAGAAGGCTTATCATTCCTGTGCTCTGTATGGCACCTAACTCGCTGATTTCATGTCTGTCACACAACTGCTGGCCCGGAGTGGTTATAGTGATATGTGGCAGTCTACCTCCATCACTCAGGATTTGTGTCTGACATTAATGAGAAAACCTGGATGATAGTTGCATTAATAAAGCTGATTTTAATTTGCATTACTCTGTAGTACATATCAAGTCAAACAGTAAGGATCAACAAGTTCTGAACTGGTGTATTCCCTATTCGAGCATTTATTCTTAGCTAAAAAGACATTGGAGCTCAGGAGAAGACATTATGCATTTATAAAACAAAGGACCTTTTTTCTGTTGGTACTTAAAAATTTCTGAGGGAGATACAGTTGCCATCAACTGTGTATTCCTTCTGGCATCAAATTAAAATTTACTTGTTTGCCCAGGCCAGAAATTCTCCCAAAGTTCATAGACAAGAGTTATCTCTATAAACTTCAAAGTTCTATTTACCAGACCATCCCCTTAATTTTTTTCTTGCCAAATATGCCAAGCCACATTAATATAGTAGCCGTTTGAATCTATTCCCCTTATCTTAAGCAGATTCTTAATTAATCCCACCTCTGGGGAAGTTTGCACTATTTAGTTCCAGTCTCCTGAGCTCTGATATCTTTTTAGCTAAGAATAAATGTTGGAATAGGGAATACACTAGTTAGTCATCAGAACTTCAAGTGTAACCTTGTAGAGTGGTGTGTAAGAGACTTGCTTTGGGCTGGGATACTATCCTTGTTACAATTTATCTGTCTTCATTCTCCAATTTATGATATGCATGTTAACCTGGCGCTCAGTTCCTCTCACTTTATCAGAAAAAGCTTGGAAGTGAGAGAAGGGTTCTGTTGGCCATCCCATGTTAAATATTGTTGACTTTATATTGGAAAAACATTGCATGGAAAGCACCATGTTATAATAGATGTAGGAAACTTTGGAATTACACTGGTGATCTTACCAAAGGTGGTAAAGAAAATATGTGTGTTTAGGCAATTTTCCCCTTCTGTATGCTACATCTTTGTGTTATGCCAATTAGATTATATTTGATACTATTTCTGCTGGTCAGGCCTTTGCATTGTGTTGTATCTTTCTCCTTAATTATTATTTCCAGTTTATATAGCCAGGAGCTTTCTTCCAGTTTATTCACATGGGAAGTTTTTTCAGTATTTTATGCTTCTCAGAGCAGGAATGGAAGTATTCTTCCTGATAATCAATCCATGTTTCTTCCTCCTAAATGTACCTAACTAAGGGCATTTGTATCTTTCTCATTCTCCCAGTTTTTCAGATTTGTTTGTCCATTGAAAAAATTGTGGACAGTAATTTTGTTATAAGGGTATATTTTGGGTGGGGGCTGTTTGAAATCATCATAGACTCAAGGCTTTTTATTTTCTCATTACACTAGGTGAAATTCTGGATTGACAATCTGGATTTATTAAATGAGCAAAGGAAAATAATCCCTTTATTTTCACATGGCCAGGAGGACTTTAAACTTTCTGTTACACAGAGAGACTTGGAGTAATCGATTAGCAGTAGGCAAGAAATTCCCATCTGTCCACAATCATTGCAGAGGGAATGCAATTTTAATTTAATTTTTAAAAACAGCCTGGGAAAGAACAATAAGCTTTGTTTTGGCAGAGGTTCTTCAGAGTTAATACACTCTTTGTGCAGAATCCATAAACATAAATGTACTTGCTGGATTTCTTTAAGTAAGTGTAAGAAAGTTTCACTAACCACAGAACACTCAACTTCTATTATTTCAAGTTGGCCAAATTGCTGTGTTCTGATGCGTTTTGTCACATGTGGCACAAGAATCCTAAATTGAGAGTATGTGACTAATAATAGTTAAATGTTCCTCATGCAAGGTACATGGTTTACTTAGAATGAAAATGTTTTTCTAAAGCCATGATTTCTGTATATCAGTATTAGTTTAGCAACCCCTCACTAGACAGTAAAGGAAAATAACACTTTTTGTGTTATTGCACAGTGTTTTTGCACTGTTCTATTTAAAAATATTTAATCAGTGTCATCCAGTTATAATACTGTCATTATTACTGTCAATATTGTCATACAGTATTATGTTTTAGAACATCCTCTTGGTTGTGATGTTGCTTAATAACATTTGGGTAAAACACATTATTCTGATTTTTTTGTAGCAGATTGTACTTACTTAATCATAGAGCAAAAGGAAGTTGAAGCTTTTCTGTGACAATACATTTTTTTTCCTTTGTAGATTGAAAGAAGAAAAGGACACCTACGTGCGGCCAGTGAAGATGCTCTTTACCTCGACATCAGCTATTTAAGCTGAATGCATTGTGATTTCCAGTAATTGAGACAGTGGTTCTGAAAGCTGTCTACATTAATGAAAAGAACAATGTAGTCAGCTTAATTGTATCATCAAGTTTTGCAAATTGAATAGAGCATGACAGATCCTCTCTTGACGGACTTCTGCATGTTAGGAGTATAGATTTATTTACTTTTTTTTTAATTTAAAGCCTTGTTGTTTGTAAGTTTTTAAGTATGGAAAATTACGAAAGTGCACCTCCCCTTCCAAAAGAGCCAGCAACAGAAGTGAATGTGGAGAACCATTCTTGTCCCCCACCATTGCCGCCTAATGAACAGCCTCCACCACCTCCCCTGCAAACGTCCAGTGACGCAGAGGTAATGGACGTTGGCTCTGGTGGTGATGGACAGTCAGATACCCCTGCTGGGGACACACAGACTGTCGGCAGGACACAGCTTCTCACAAAAGGATCTTCATGCTACAAAAGTCGTCTTATCATAGATCCTAATAGTGACCAAAGCCCAAGGACTGCTCGTCATGCGCCTTCAGTTAGAAAGTTCACCCCTGATCTTAAGTTGCTTAAAGATGTAAAGATAAGTGTTAGCTTTACAGAGAGCTGCAGAAGTAAAGACAGAAAAGTTCTGTACACTGGAGCAGAGCAAGTCTATGAGACAGATTCAGATTTAGGTATTAATAATGTCAATGGGGATGTGCATGCTTGTCCTCTTGCTGGGGGTAGTAATGGTCAAGCTGCATGTGTAGGTGGTGAAAACGATGACAAAAAGGAGGATGAAAATGATGTAGATCAGGAAAAGCGAGTGGAGTATGCAGTTCTGGATGATTTAGAAGATTTTACTGACAATTTGATGGAAATAGATGAAGAAGGAGGGTTTACATCTAAAGCAATCGTTCAGAGAGACAAAGTGGATGAAGAAACATTGAACTATTCTTATGAGGTAAGCATTTCTATTTCACATTTCAGAAGGAATAAAAAATATAGAGGATTTACGTGTAAAATGTCTGTGAATGAAGGATTTGGGTGGTGGTGAGTAGGGAATAAATTTGGGAAGTTTGGGGCTTCATAACAATCCAGAAATAGTAGGCAGTGCTAAGAATGAACAGGTTGTATTATGTTTCATGTCAATGTGTTGGCTTTTCTCTACTTGAATATCATGACAGTTAAGTTACTAATCACGGGTGAGAATCCTGGTGTGGAATTACACTGACATTTGTGGTTTGTGTAAATTCCATCTGGATTGCTGCTAATTAATAGGAGGCTGCTCAGATTTCTGGGGTCACACCTTGGATTGCAAGGAGCAATTTGTAAATTAGCAGCAATTTGCCACTGCACTTTGTAAAATAACAGTAGGAGTCTGATTGTTGCTTAAAAATGTGCCTTGCTCACCTTATAATGATAGACATTTATATACTTGCATACATTAACCCTTAAGATCAGCATAAGTGGAAGAGAATAGCTGCAGGGGTGTAGTATCTAACCATTTATTTTTCAGGATGAATTTGATAATGATGTGGATGCTCTGCTGGAAGAAGGCCTCTGTGTTCCTAAAAAAAGGAGAATTGATGAGAAATACGGAGGGGAGAGTGACCACCAGTCTGATGGAGAAACTACTGTGCAACCAATGATGACCAAAATCAAAACTGTTCTTAAAAGTAAGCTAGTTATAGCATTTATTTTTTGCAACTATAATGAGATGAGTATTGCAACCCATGGTATAAATATACACAATGGCTCTGGGGTTGTTCAAGCAAGAATTTTCTGTATCCTTTCAAGCCAACATTACCTGTGTGTGATAGCACCCCTGTTTTTGATTTCTCAAAAACGGGGATGTCTATGGTGTGTTGCCATAAATTGCTGATGGTTAGATATTGGAGGATTAAGTAAACTTGGAGAGTCTCATAAGCAGCATAGACCTCTCTTGCATTGTAATGCTTTTTGTTTTTAATTCTGAAAGAAGAACATTTTAAGTGGACAGTGAGCATTGTTTGTAATGGATTCGCAAAGACTTTCACGGCCGAAATCTAATGGTTGTTGTGGGTTTTTCAGGCTCTCTGGCCATGTTCTGAAGGTTGTTCTTCCTAACGTTTCGCCAGTCTCTGTGGCCGGCATCTTCAGAGGACAGCACTCTGTGCTTTGGTCTGTGCACAGACCAGATAGGTTCACTACTATCTGTAATTTCACAAATCTGCACTGGGGCTTGGAACCTATTCCCCCGCAGATTTAGGGGTCCTATTTTAGTTCTCAATTTTTGCCCTGTTGCTGAAAATTGACACTTATGCACTTTAGAAGAACTTTAAATTAATGTTGATAGTTTAAGTGGTATACAGATATCTGTTCTATCTGATTGCTTCTTTACACCGATGAGTAAAGTACAGTATAGAATGTTCCAGGTCAAATATATAAAACTAGGATTTCTTTTGAGCACCCTAAAGCAAGCGGAGGTTTTAAGTGTGGGATAATTTTCGTTAGTTACTCCCTTGTTGGAAGGGAAGAAGGTAAATTATTCCATCTGGTATAAGAGTATGGAATATTTTTAGAACTGCACAGCTGGAAGGGAACCTATGAATCACTGAGTCCAGCCCTTGTCAAGGGAGGAATGAAACTCCTAAACTCTGGCTCTGCAGCCAGAGACCTAGACCATTCGGCTATCAGCAAAGACAGGTTGGCGTTGAAAAGCAAACTAGTTGAAAATCTGCCAGTATTCTGAAAATCTAGAAATTAATGCCAGTGAATAAGTGCAAATTTTCTTCTTTTTCTTTTCACCTTAAATTTTTTTTTGAATAATGCTTAGAGAAGGCTTGTACAGTTAGTATTCTTTTTAATTTTTTTAAAGGTCGTGGCCGGCCTCCTACAGAGCCTTTGCCTGATGGATGGATCATGACATTCCATAATTCAGGCATTCCTGTATATCTGCACAGAGAATCCAGAGTTGTTACCTGGTCCAGACCTTATTTCTTGGGAACAGGAAGCATAAGGGTATGATTTGGACTTCAGTAAATTTCTGAATTCATAGTCATTAGATTTTAAAAAGTTCTTCCAAAGTTTTTTTTATTTGCTGCAAAACTATTTCCGTTGACATAGAGTTGCTGTATTTATTTGCTTTGGAGGGCGTTTTTCTTTAAAGCTGCCTGCTTGGGGGTTTCCTGGGGGTACCCAGTTTCTTAGTGCAGGAAGACAGGATGCTGTGGTAAATAGACCTTTAATATGAGCCTGCTGGGCTTGTGTTCCTTTTAGTATTAGCAGGAGAAATAATGATATTGAACTATTAGCAGTTTAACAAAGGAAATTGTATTAAAACTTAAAGGAAACAATATAGCAGTCTGGTGTACAGTCTTCCTTGAAATGGAAACTTTGTTTCAATAGCAGTAAGTAATAGGATTCTCAGTCACATGATGCTCTAGTTGCAAATCAGTAATTGGTTGTTAACAAAAAAGTTATTCACTGAAATAAACATATAATTCCAGAACACTTTGCATGTATTTATGTACATGTACACCTGTGCATATATACACAGTTCCATATACTATGAAAAACATGTTGAAAATGCTCTATAATCATAGAAGCAGGTTTTATAGTTTACATGTAATGAGCTTTAGAACAAATATTTAAGTTCTTCGTATGGTGAAATCAGTCAAAATAACAGACTTGCACTCATTTGCTTGTTGCAACCAGAGTAGACCCATTGACTCAGTTGCTGATGGCTTCTATAACTGCTGCTAATTCAGTGGGGCTACTGTTGCTAGCAGTTGGCCAGAATTGTGAAGCCATGCCATTGGCAGAAATCCAGTTGTGCAAATAATATAACTTTTAGACTCATTGCTGTAAGTTAAGAAACCTTTGTAGGCATTCTGTGTTGCACAGTAAGTCATGTGACTCAGTATACAGCAGATATAGTCTATGGAGATTTCTTATTTAGGGCCCTTTGCTTCCCAAAGTTATGGTGTTTGCCTAAGTGCAACAGCTTTCAACAAGTGAATGGTAATGTGAGTATGGGGCATGCACTGAAAACCTTTGAATGAGGCTAGATTTGCATTTGTAGTCTTATTCTCCTGGTTTAACATGCTGATGTTTATTTGCAGAAACATGATCCTCCTTTGAGTAGCATTCCTTGTTTGCATTATAAGAAAATGAAGGAAAATGAGGAAAGGGAACAAAACAATGACATAACCCCAAATGGTGAGGTGTCGCCTGTAAAACTCTTAGATAAGTCTGTAGAATTGGACTGCCAAACAGAGGAGCCGGACTCCACTGCTGCCGATTCTGGGACTTTAGAAGAGAGAGACCCCTTGGGGGGAGATGCAGCACAAGGAGCCTTAGGTCAAGTTAAGGCCAAAGTTGAGGTGTGCAAAGATGAATCTGTAGGTAAGTGCTGAAAAATGTGATTTTGGGGGCTTGAAGAATCTGCACCTACATTACATGAAATTGATATGAAACCTGTGAATTGAAAAATTCAAACCTTAGGAGATGCCTGAGAGTTATACTCACAATGTTAAACATAGTGACAGTTTACTACGTTTTATCTTCATGATTTCTGTTTTAGTTTTAAACCAGATGTTGCTTCTATATGAGTGCTTTAAATCAAATTCACATATATATGTTTGAATAGGCTGTGGAAAAGTCCACACGGACAGATTAGGTACGCAATATAACAATTCTTCCCTGTCACCCTGAATTTCAAATACTCAGTTTGTGTACTGCAATCAACATTGTAGTACTCTTAGGCCATTTCCACAGTGAAAGGAACAATCAAGTAGCCTTGAGTTTCATTCAGATGTTGTTACACATACAATCTTCCTGTAAACTGTATCATTCTGTGTTTTTATTCAGCATACTGGGTCTGTATCAGACCACATGCACTTAGATCCATTCATAACAATGTCCCAGCTTTTTATGGAATGAGTAAAACAACCAAGACTGGTTACCCCTTTTTCTAGATCTTGAAGATTTTAGACATTACCTTGAAAAACGTTTTGATTTTGAACAAGTAACTGTAAAAAAGTTCAGAACCTGGGCTGAGAGACGGCAGTTCAACCGTGAGATGAAGAGGAAGCAAGCAGAGTCTGAGCGCCCAATTTTGCCAGCCAATCAGAAACTTATTACCTTGTCTGTACAAGATGCACCCACAAAGAAAGGTAGGTTTTTTTAATGTATTAATTTTGTTTGCAGTTTTGAGCTTCAGAGTTCTGTTTAACTTTGAAAAGTGTGGGATTTATATTTGACTCCATGTTAGAAAAACATAGTGCCCTTGCCTGGATCCTATGCTTAATATTCAGATTGCTGCTTTGGGTACTTAAGGACTTAGTTATGGCCATTTGGGGCTTCGAGCTGTTGTGCTACATTAAACTGCTTCTGATATTTTCAAGGATTTAAAAAGCAGTTTGACATGTAAGTTCCTCACCCACCTCATCTTTGTTTGATAAAACTTAAGTCCAGAGGCAGCTTGTGCAAAATGAATGTGGTGTCAGTCTTCATTTTTTGTTCTGCAGTGTAAGAATAGTACAGATATGGATCATATTTGTCATTTGTACAAGTTGTAAAAAGAGGAAGGTGTGGAACTCAGTAGCAGAGCACTTGCTTTGCGTGTGGAAGGTTCTATAGAACAGGTAAAACTTTTGCCTGAGCCTCTTGGAAAGCTGTTGCAGGTCGGTGTAGACGGTCCAAAGTTGAATGGATTGTAGAACTGCCTCTTTAATAAATAAGGCAAGTTCCGATGTACAGTAGCTGTGAAGTATTCATTTATTCGTCTTTGTACATCAAACATCTGTCCTGAAGATGTTGGTAGCAAATGGTTTTTATACTGAAAGAAGGAGTAGGATATCAACCTTCTGCCCGATCAGTAGACATGCCTATTTTTATTTCTTGTGTGTTCTAAGATGTGGGAAGTGGGTTTGTGGTCTGCCTTTAACCCTTTCTTTTGAGAAAACAAAGAAAAAATTGGTTGCTCAATTTTGGAGAATGTATCCTGATTCCTACACCAGTTAGTTATAAAAGTGTGTTTCTGGAGATGCTCCTTACATGCTCTTGAACATGGAGTCCTTAGGATTTAAGCAGTTGCACCTCATGCTGGTCTAGCGTAGCTGCTGGTTTCTCTACTATTTGGAAAGGTTACTTTTAAAGAATTCTCCAGCCGCTATAACAGCTGGCTAGATAATATTAGAAGCTGTATTAGAAGCTGTAGTAGAAGGCTGACATTTACACTGCTTTGCGATCAGGGCCCTCTCAAACTAGGTCATGTTACATAGAGATGAGCATGAATCGGCAGAGAAACAGGTTTTCAATGGATCCCAGCCCCTATCTTCTTCAGTGGGTATTATTTATTTATTTATTTACAATATTTTTTAGCCGCACCATTGCCAGTGGCTTCTGAGCGGTATCCACTCATAGGCAGCATCCTGGCTTCCCTGCCCCACCACCTCCAAGTGCTGCCCCCCAAGTTGGCACCTGCTGGAGGAGATAGGGTTAGGAACGGTTAAACATTTGTTTTTCCAAAGGGCAAACCAGCACAAAACACGAAACTAGTGGTTCGTGCCCACCTCTAGTGCTAGAACAGTGAACTCCCGAATGACTCAAAACTGTATTTTTGAAATGTCTTTCTATTTCTAGAGTTTGTTATTAATCCCAATGGGAAGTCTGAAGTTTGCATTCTGCATGAATATATGCAACGAGTACTGAAGGTTCGACCTGTTTACAATTTCTTTGAATGTGGTAAGTCATCAGCATGGCATGTTTGATGAGGTAGTTTTACTTGTAATATATGATCAGCACCTCTAGGTTTCAGCTAAGTATTTCAGAAAATTGACAGTGTTGTGTGAGAGGGTCTTCCTCTTGCTGCAAATTCTGAGACTGCTAATTTGAAAGGTGCCCTCCCTCGATAGCAGGCCTGATCTAAAATTTTCATGTTGAGTGCTGGAACATTTGATGTATCACTTGAAATTTATTCAGATTCCAATAGCTTTTCCAGTAGTTGTGTTACAATGGAATGACATAGGAGATTGATGACTTTTATTCAGTGACAGAAGCAGCATTCCTGTGTGATGTGCAAGTACTTATCATTCTACATAGGGAGGGTGTATTGCTTTCAGACATCTTGTTAATGTAAGAAATGCACTTGTTCTAAATATTGTGACTTCAGCGTCTTTGCTCTTCTCTCCTTAAAGAGAACCCAAGTGAGCCTTTTGGAGCCTCAGTTATTATTGATGGAGTGACTTATGGGGCAGGAACCGCCAGCAGCAAGAAACTTGCCAAAAATAAAGCTGGTAATGTAAACACATATTGAATGTTTGTAATTAGTGGCTAGTGTCAATAAGGCTGCAATGCAACTAGGATTATGCCAATGTGTGCAAATTTTACATGTGTTTACCTTTCACGTATAGAATTGAGTGCGACATCCTTAATGAAAAAAATGTTGTATGAATTGTGAGATTGAAATGCAGAGCTGTGTTGTGACCGTCTGAAATTTTTAGTGTAATGAGCTTAGGAGAAGCTCTTAGCTTTTGAGAGTGATAAAGCAACGCTGTTGATGGGCAGTGGTTGGTGATTTGAGGTTGAAGGCAACAGCTTCACTTTCCCAGTATTGCTTAGGGTTCTTAGCCAGCGGGAGTGAAACAGATCACAGTCTTGGCACGTGGTATCTTTCTTTCGCCTTTCTGCTCTGCTCTCATCTAGTTTTCTCCAAGCTGATGTTCTCCGTGTGTTTCAGACTTTCACTCTTTTCCAGCCCCAGCTAACATGGCCAGTGGGGAGGCATCATGGCAGCTAAAACCCCTGTAGGGCAAAAAGTGGGGGAGACTGCACTGTCCTGTATCCATGGTTCTTGGCCAGAACTCTAGTGAAATGGATATACAGTTTCAGGGGAGGGGGGTGATTATGGTTGTGGCACTTAATGTTGATTCTTTGAATGTTGCACACAGACATCTGATGCTGACATTCAAAAGATTTTCCTGCAAAATACAGTTGTCCACAACAGGAGCACAGAACTCTTTCCCCCAGTTTTGAAAAAAAGTTTTTACACTGTTTTATGATCTGCATTCTTGGGGGAAAGTTTAGTGTTGTGGAATGTATAATTACAACAGGCACCAACCCCTTCAATTACTTATTCTTTCAGCCCGAGCAACACTGGAAATCCTCATCCCTGATTTTGTTAAACAGACCTCTGAGGAAAAGCCCAAAGATAGTGAGGAACTAGAGGTATTGTTTACAGTCCTCTGCATGTTTACTTGGAAGTAAGTCCCATTAAGTTCAGTAAATGCAACTTGAATCCCAGTGAATTCACATACTCCAAGTATGTGTGTAAGACTATGACTTCAAACAGAACCTAATCAATTGTTTTGTGTTAATTTAAAATGCCAATGTGTTCATTTTCTTTCGGTAATGATACGGTTTTGTGTTTCAGAATTAAGTGTGCTTTTGAGATAACATTCTAATTATCAGGTTAATATTTTTAAATAGTAACAGTCAAATCATTGAAAGTTTTTTAAGCTAACTGTCCCCAGAAAGCAAACATGTATTCATGTTAAAACTAGACTGCAATTATATTCATTATAATTATGAAGAATATTTCATTGAATTCAGTGGGACTTACTTCTGAGCAGAAAAGGACAGGATTGCAGTGCACCTATTTTTACCAGTTTTCAGTGCCTTCATTTAAAAAAAAAAAAAACGGAAGTGTGTTCAGCTGTCCTGTGTTGAAATATTTACTAATATTGTAATAAATTATTTTCCAAATAAAAATTTATAATGTGTTTGAAGGTAACCTTTTAAATTGTTCTTAGGCAATAAATTACTGTTTGACCATTGAATGAAGACCTGCCAATTTTTGTTACAGTATTTTAACCATATCAGTATTGAGGACTCACGGGTATACGAACTGACCAGTAAGGCTGGACTCCTATCTCCATATCAAATTCTCCATGAGTGCCTTAAAAGGTAAGGTGGTGTGTTCCTTTTTAATACGGTTTGTAGATTGGGAAAGTTATCTTAACAGGTATTGGTAAAGACCAGTTAACAGTCTCATTTCCTCATTTGTCTTTTCATAACCCACAAATAGTGAGCAGTGCTGGCCTTGGAATGCTTGAAGGTAGCTGTTCACCTCTGATAGCTGTTTTTAAAAGCCTTATTGCTGCACATCCACTCTTTATGAGTTATGACTGGACACTGCAGTCAGCCATTTTAATACAGTGGTGCCCCGCATAGCGAGATTAATCCATTCCGGATTAATCGTCGCTATCCGGAAACATCGTAAAACGAAATGGAAAACCCCATAGGAACGCATTAAACTCCATTTAATGCGTTCCTATCAGGGGAAAACTCACCATTGAGCGAAGATTCCCCATCCGACCACCATTTTCGCGTCCTCGGTAAGCGAGGGCAGGGCGCAAAAACGCTGCGGGCAGCCATTTTAGGCACCCAGCGGCCATTTTGGAACCGCCGATCAGCTGTTTAAAAAACCATCGCAATGCGAAGATCGGTAAGCGAAACGCTTAGTGATCATCGCAGTGCGATGTTTTGGCACTTAAAACATCGCAATGCGATCGCATTAGCGATCCCAAAAAACGGATCGCTATGTGGATTCGTTAAACGGTGCACTGATTATGCGAGGCACCACTGTATATGCTTTCACATGAAGGTACAATAAATACTTTTGGAGGGAGATCAGTAGTTGAATATTTTCCCAGGGAGGTCAGCAGTAATTATTCATTTTATAGTGTAATGCCAGTTAAAGATGGAGCTTCCTGAAAAGTGAGCTTCCTGCTGATAATATTTTCTATTACAACCCAGAATGCTCACTTTGCTATGTATGCGGTGGAGAGTTTTTCTTTTTTAAAAAGCTTGATGATGTGTTGAAAGGATTCAAATAGACTTGTATATCTTGTAGTGATAAATAAGCAAATATGGTAACATCAGTGATTGAACACTTACTTTTCCAGATTGACCAATTATGCCAATAAAGGTTTCTGTATGTATGTATGGTAACATCAGTGATTGAACACTTATCTTTCCAGAATGACCAATTGCTTTTGTGTGGCTGAAATACTGTTGCTTAGTATAAGTAAGTTGCGTTAGAGTCGGCTCATTGAATACTTGGACATTTTGTGAGTCAACTTCTCTGTAATTTCCATTGATTCAGATTGGCCTAATTTAGCTTAAATGTTAGCTAAAATTATAAGGCACAACATGGCAAGGAATAAAAGATGTAGGTGAATGTGGAAGTGAAGATAAGTTTAAACGGAACGTTTCAACAAGGTGCCACTGTGAGTTAAAATGTTTGACTTCAGTAGGAATGTCTGTTGTTTATTTCTCCCTTCATATGTTAAAGGCCTACTTTTTTTCCCCTTGGCTGACCAAAAAGATCCGACACAAGTGGCAAGGCATTAGGTTGGCAGAAATATTGACTTGAAAACAGTAGATAATGAGTTTCACCTCTACAGATAGTTTTTCACTAGTCGAAGTCCTGGACTTCTGAGAGAATTTTGGCTTGACACACAGCTAGGCTTAACAGACTCCTTGGCTAAGATGCTAAGAATGTTCTGTATGTTGTTTAGAAATCATGGCATGGGTGACACGTCTATAAAGTTTGAGGTGATTCCTGGTAAAAATCAGAAGAGCGAATATGTGATGACATGTGGAAAGCACACTGTGCGTGGTTGGTGTAAGTATGATGGCTGATTTTATTCCCATTTAGGGGGGAGGTATTGTACCTCTTTTACATCTTCTTTTTTTCATTGTCCAAAATCTAGTTAGAATTATTTTTCCAAGGTCTTAACTTGCTGCTTATCCTGTATTCTTGTGTATAGTGATGGCTGTGATTATTTTGAATTAATAACAGAAGCACCTGTATTGTAGGACATAAGGCTAAGAAACTAAAATGCTTTTCCTAAGATTTTGGTACTGTTCCAAATAATGGGAATAGCAAAAGGCAAATTTTAGTGGAAAGTAAAAACAGAGGACTGCAGACCCCATTTTCTTTTGTGATATATGGGTTGTCTTCCCTGTGAATGATTCCTAATGTTAGTGTTTCCCTTCTTTGTTAAGCAGGTTATCTGTGACTTTCTTTGTTTTCTATTAACAACCCAGTAATGACATCCTATGAAAAAGAAAGAATTGTATTGAGAGATTTCTGCTGCTCTCTCCTTACTTTTAATGTTGGTCCAGGTAAAGTTTAGAAAAATCTTAGAGGACTTAGAGTGCATTGATATGGACAGCATAACCTTTCTGAGTTGGTGCATGTTAGACTTCATGGGTTAGATCCAGATTAATATTACAGTAAAATATTAGTCATGACTTTAGTTCTGTTGAAGAAGTAAATGAGATTTAAGTGCAAATAACAAATCTGGAGTTAACCTCATATTTTCATAATTATTAAAAATCATTGTCTAATATGCTGATGCTGGAAAAGGTTCAAGGTGGCATTATTCATGAGCCACTCACTCTTCCATTTTTTTAAAAAAAAATTATTTTGCTTTTCATAACCAAGGTTGGTGGGTGATGAAAAGCAAAAAGCCGCCTAGAGTGGTCGAAATGACTAGATAGGTGGGGTATAAATGCAATAAATAAATAAAAAACATGAGCTAAAGGAGGATGCTGCTGTTTGTGAATAGTTCTGAAACTGCACAAAGCTAAGCAGAGCCTGGATTAGTTTTGTTTTGTTAATTTACAAGTATAATTAAACAAAGCTGGCTTCAGAATTCATGTTGTAACTAAGAAGGAGCTGATGCAGTCTTTGAATTAATTAGTACAAAACACTTCCTGCTTTGATTTCATTTGTTGTACATACAAACAAAAGGGGCTGATTCCTAATCTTGTGATTGTGCAGGTAAAAACAAGAGAGTCGGAAAACAGTTGGCTTCTCAGAAAATACTTCAGTTGCTTCATCCACATGTGAAAAATTGGGGCTCTTTGTTGCGCATGTATGGTAGAGAGAGCAGTAAGATGGTTAAGCAGGTAAGAGTTATATTTGTTTTCTGGGCTCATCAGATTTTAAGCCACTGCTTATCTTGACACACTGCAGCTGAAGTCTGAATAATCTTGCTTTATGTGGCATTATATGTCAGGAAACTGATCAGGAGATGAACATTGTTAGTTGATAGCTGAATGGATAGTAAAACGTATCACTTTATTCAGTTACATTTCATAGCAGAGATGCATTGTTCTTATGCCATTTCTTTTAAGTTTAGTTTGCTAAGCATAGTAATTAAAAAAAAATTATTCCTCTGATAGATGAAGTTATTCCCCGTGAGTTCTTCTTTTAGTCTTTAATTATTGCATTTTTATGCAGGAGACGTCGGATAAAAGTGTGATAGAGCTTCAGCAGTATGCCAAAAAGAACAAGCCAAATTTACACATACTGAACAAGTTACAGGAAGAAATGAAGAAACTAGCAAAAGAAAGGGTGAGTGTATGCTTAGTAATCTCATAAACCACCGTTAGCATCTGAAGATTTGCTCATCCTGATTGTCACTCCGTAAAGGATTGTATGAAGGGGCAGTATCCTTTTAAAAAAAATGTAACTGTTGTATTTAGCAAGTCCTGCTCTCAGGAGGAGCTAACATGAAGCTGAAAGGGTGTCCACTTCGACTCATATGTACTGACCTTGAGTGAGATTTTCCAGTATCCTTGATTATTACGTTGTGTGAGCAACAGTATTTGTGCCTGCTAGTTTCAGGCAAAGCGTTAGTCTTGCAGTCAAGCCTTTTTCTTGTAATGCCATGGGCTCTAAGTACAAATTCTACATCTGCATACTTTGCATTACGTTGTGTGAGCAACAGTATTTGTGCCTGCTAGTTTCAGGCAAAGCGTAAGTCTTGCAGTAAAGCCTTTTTCTTGTAATGAGTAGCATGCCATGGGCTCTGAGTACAAATTCTACATCTGCATACTTTGTTATATAATGTTTTTTAAGTATCAGCATCTCCCAAAAGGAATGTGTTTACATAGTATTATGTTTGGCTTCTTACTTTTTTTAGGAGGAAACAAGAAAGAAACCCAAGATGACAATTGTTGAATCTGCTCAGCCTGGCAGTGAACCTCTGTGTACTGTTGATGTGTGACCAGAAAGTGTAACAATTGGGGAGCAATAAATCAAGTGAAGAAAACTAATTTTTCCAACTATTTAATTAAGAATTGGTTTGCTTCACAGTGCAAAATAATGTAACAATCCAAGCAGCTTCAAATGTGCATTCTTCTTTTGCATCATCAGGAGGATAGTATTAGACTTGGTATTTTTTAAACTTCCCAAGGCATACATTATTGAAGAGAGCAAAAATCTGGGAGGGCCAATGTGTAGAATGTGGGTAGCAGGCTTGTTCATGCAGGATAAGGTTAAGTAAGCATTTCCCCATGTATCCATGCTGTCTTGAATTGCTGTTTGAAAATAAAACTCAGAATGTCTTTGTAAAGAGTGGAACGAATGTATAACATAGGAATACAGCTGTGCAGCCTCTTATATGAATATGCTGACAATTTTTTTAAGGAGCTTTCTTGCATTTCAGCACAGAATAATATGCACTGATCAGACACTTTTGACAGCTGTATCAAAACAAGCAATGCCGTGAAGGTTAGGCCAGTAGTTTTGATTGTTCTTTTTTTAAAGGTTTAGGAACATTTAAAATTTGTCTCCACAGTAAGACTATTCCATGGCAGTGTTGAGCACCAAAGTGTCTGCCCTTTAATAGTGTGTGTGTGTCATTTTGAAAGCAGATGAAGCCGTGAAGGTTAACATTTAAGAGAAGGAGAAAATTACGTTTTGATTTGCCTGACACAATGCACTTGGTTGTCTCTGGGTGTAGGGGGGGGGCGAGTGCGGCTGCCCTGCCATCTCCATCATACGGGTGCCAAGAGGCACCAGAATAATCTGAGAATTTGCAACAGCAGTGCGTTGTAACTTGCTTCTTCTGCCATTAAAAAAACAACCGCTGTGTGGGCAGATACAGAGGTTTCCCATAGAATCCTCTACAATATAATTTTATTTAACCCAGCTGGATCTAATTAAGATTTTATTGTGGGAATGGTTCTAGAAAGTATTTGGAGGCCTGGCTTGATTCTTTGAGATTAGGGAAAAAATCACTGGAGTAATTTTAATTTGTCCTTAAAAATTGTCACTGACTTCGTTTTACTACATGTTTAGCATTTGCAGAGTAGTTTCTGCTGTGGGAACTATAAGAATGTAAACTGGAGTACATCAGGGAGGTCTTCTATAAGACTTGAATAAGTTGTATTGAAATGAAATAAAGAACATGGATATGCAATTTATGTCTTATATACATTTTTTTTGAGCTATCCATACTTCGTTACAAGATCGTTGAGCTGAAAAAACATTGTTCTAAAAAGTTGTGGCAACTAAAAAATTCATTCTGGGAATAATTCAGAAACTTTAGCATAGGTAGGTATCGACCCCATCCCATTAATTTAAGCTTTTTTTTCTAAACCTCTCCAACACATGCGACAATTAACTGTATAAATAAGGTGGTTACCTTAGTGAACTACGTACTCAGCTCACTCGTTGGGTAAGTACAGAAGCCCACTTGTAAATCGGCAAGTTAATTCTGGACACTACTTGGAGGTTTTTGGTACATCATTTGTGCATTACCAAGACTGCATGTCCGTTCCTACTGTGAAATCCATGGAAGTGTTGTATATTATTGCTGGACAATTTAATCCATGTTTCCTGCCTCCAGTACCGAGAGCACATTGTATACATGGGAAATTACATATAATAAAGTACTACACTGGAAACTTTACATTTAATTAAATGCCATTGAACGTTTGCCTAGAATGCTGGGATGTTTCTCCTCTGACCTGCAGGATGCAAATTATTTGATATTTTTCCAATATGCCATGCATCCACCTGGTGGTCTTGGTAGAAATAGTGTGTCCATGTGACTTATAGCTGCCTCTCTTTAGGCAGATAATTTCCACCCTCCTCACCCCACACACAAACCTGCACAGACAGTACTTGCCATTCCCTGCAAATGAATGGCCTGTTCTGGAATGGGAGTCGCATCTCTTCTTGAAGGCATGCTGTTCTAAGGGCACTGCCCATTCTACAGTGTGGTTCAGTCTGTCTCATTTAGCATATCACTGGGGTAATACTAAAAAATTAGACTTTCCTCAATGCCTTTGAAAGGTTTTTAGAGGTGCATTTCATGCAAAGAAATGCCTTTTCAGCAGCACTTTCAGGACAGATTGTCCCCCTGCCTCATTAGTATGTTTTACAGGTTATCCATAGAGGTCCCATTCTGTGCTTGTCACACTGACCGTTCTGTTTCAGTCTGCCAAGACCAGAATCCTCCAGAGGTAACCACTGCCCTTAAAACATCCTGATAGGACATTGTGAACCAAAGGCTAGTACAAATTATGCATTCTTTGAACAAAAAAATTGTATGTTTTGCTGCAGCCTCTTTGGCAAGATGTTTAGACAGCACAATTTAACTGCTGGAACAAATAATGTAACTGCTGTTGTCCCCGCAAAGCATTCTTGTATTTCTGACATTTACTATTGTGTGAGGTGTGAACAGTCTTGCCTTTGCACATAACCTGCTGCGATAGAAGGTAGATTGTTGCATTAACTCCAGCTTCCGCACAGATACTTTAACAGTATAACTCAAGACATCAGAGTGTTGTGTGACTCTTGTAATTGTGGCCGTTTCTTCTATTTAATCAACTGTAATACAGTAGTTTGGATTCTAACAATGCTTAAAGTGCTTAAAGCAAAGCCACCTCAGGCTCCCCTTTTGATTAGCACAATACATTAATCTGGAGAAGCTTCACTAACATGCATCTGTTCCATTCTCTAGAAATAGCTTTTGCTTTGCATATTATGTGCTGCTTAAGAGCTATAAGGTATTCTTTGAATGTTTCGTACTAAGCGCAAGGTTACTAGCTTTGGTGAAAATCAGATGCTGCCCAGTATAAAACAACTAGTTGCTTAATTAACACTTTTAATATACCTGCCTGCTGGAAATACATTCTCTTTTTTGCATTTTCCACATTTGCAAAAACATTTTCTTGAAGCAGTTTACATTATTGTATGCTTGGTTTTGGTGGGAGACCTGGGACATTAATCACTACCTGTAGTTGTCTGTGAGGACAGTTCCTCATTAAGCTAGCCTGTCTGCCACTTGGAACAATTTACAGTGATCAGTTAACTATTGTATTTTGAAAATGAATGTGTCCAACTTTGTTTTCCTGGGCGCTGTGTGAATTTTCTGTTTGAGTACAATTCCTCGATTCCAGTGATCAGTTGGTGCAACTACAAAGCCTATTTCATTGAGCCTCTGTGTTAGGTCCTTTTGAGTACTTGTGTGTTCCCTCAAAATGAAATCTGAGCAATAAAGTTTGATATTGCATAAGATACTGTGATTGACTGATACTACAGTTGTTCCTTGACTGCTGCCTTTTAACAATTTCTTTTTCTCCAGGGGGCCATGCTCTGTTTAATAATGGATCTATCGTGGATCTGTGGATATTTAATGAGGATCGTCACCTGGTTGTCTTTAACAGGGCTATACACCACATGCTGCTGAAACACTAACCAAGTCTGGGCTATTTATAAAGTTCTTAGACAATCATAGACAGGAACAAGAACCTGGGGTAATTATGGAGAGGTACCTGTCATGGATCCCTCAGGCTTGATCTGGAATTTGTCAAATTAAAAGTGTTCAATCTGTTTCATTTTGAAGTCCAGCACAATAGGAGAGCATAAGAGTTGGCAAGACTGATTCAGTACTTTAACATTCAATTTGCCATAACAAATGGAAATATAGAAATCCTACTTCTGAATATTAATAGCCTTTCTTCTGACCCCTTCCATGGCTCTTCGTTCCTAGCTAAAGTTGAAGTTCAGTGTTTGTTATCCATTGGATTGCTTTGCATAGCTGTAGTAGTCCTCGTTTGGCACAATTCTGTAATGACTTCAAGCAGTCTTGATACAAAACCAAAATCCAGTTACGTCCTCAATTTTTTTTACTTTCAGCTTTTGCCTAAGCCAGACTCCTCGGGAGTTTTATTCTATTTCTTCCTTAAATACTACCACCATTTTGAAGTCCTGGGAACTGGCCAGCTGGTCAGAATTTCTGGAAGAGCATGATGGCAACTGCTCCAAGATCAAAATGGGAAAACAGATCATTCATAGGAACTAACTAGCCCGCAACCATCCTTAGCAAAAACATTTGGTAGCTGCAGACTCTTGGAGCCAGTTTGCATTGTCTTCTTCCACAGACCCAGTTGCTTCCGGTTTCACAGTGGCTGCTTTGCTGTGCTTGGGTGCTCCATCCTTTCAAAGAAAAACAGCAGCTCGTAGTGCATGGTGTGAGGGAAGAGATCTACTGCCATTGCTTTCACGGGACGAAAAGCATTTCCTTTGACGCGGTTCGAAGGAGCTCTGCAAAGACTGCCAAAGAAAACATGCGAATAGGAGGTTAAAATCTAAGCTTGTTTACACTTGCTGCCTTAGTACCCATCTTGCCCTTTAAAACCTCCTCCTTTTCCATTTCGGATTCTGGAAGACAGAACTGACAACACAGCACTGCCAAAAGCTACAACCCGTTTTAAGAAATGTCAGCTATCCCTTCTGAGAAAAGAAAAGAACACACGCCCCACCGGCTGAATTGTAAACTCACTCCACAAAGTTGTTCATAGCAGCTCGAGGGTTACAGGAGACGTAAATGAGCTTCTTTAACTGTTCCGCTTTTCGGATGGCAAGAATGACTTTGGAATCTGCAAAGATGATTTAGACAAAAACTGGAATTAAATCTTGTACTGTATGCGGGCCTGTTTTAAATACTTGACTCTTCCCACCCTGAAGCATTTTGTGGGTGGTGCAGAGGGGGAATGCACCAATACAGGGTCTGCTCTTTCCTTGCCCAGAAAAGGGTAGGCATCGCATCAGTCAGACCTCTTTCTGCTCCCACCGCAATCTTTTACTGTTGGTATCACCCAGACGAGAGCCTTTTGTATTGCCTCCATTCTTCTAGCCTAATCATCTTCCAGATGGACCTTTCCCTTGCATTTTATATATGCATGGACACACACCCATTTACTTTTTCATTCTTTGTATCTCTCCTGATCATAGATCTCGACAGCCAATCCAAACCCACAATGAAAGCAATGCCAAAGGCAGCTTTGGAAACATCCACAGCTCCTTCAGATGCTTCCACCTTCTTAGGAAAGCGCACAGCGCACAAACACCCAAACAGCCACAGTAGTTCTCACAGCAAGGAACACATCTCTTAATTTACTTTTGCCCCTCTGTTCTATATCTCCATCTCTTGTTCAGCACTATCCTAAATCCCTGAACGCCAATAAAGGGCACTGAACCAAACTTACGTAACCCTGCTCGTGGAGGATCCACAATCGTAACAGAATTCTCCAGCGCTAAGGAGTTAACAAGATGAGGGACAAGATCTTCAGCTTTTCCACAGTGGAATTCAACGTTACTTAGCCCTAGAGGGAAGGAAACAAGAAGCTTGTGTCTGCTAATCATTCAGTGTAAGCAAATATATCAACAGTTCATGCTGTAAAAATGTTAACGGTTTTACATGCTAACGGCATCAGCATCTACCCACAAGCACGCATGCTTTTTGTACAGGGGAGGATTGGGCAGAAAGAAACGAGCGACTTTGTGCCTTCAAAGTAACAGGTTTCGGTCCTCCCCGCCCCCAGAAATATTTTAAATGTTAACATTCAAACCCCAAATCATTTTGTTGTGAATCTATAAAACTTGGAGAATCATGCTTTCTATGGCAATAGAAAGAGATCCACAGGTACGGGGAACACTCTAAAACTATGATTGTGCATTATGCTTTATTTTACCATTAAGCTGAGCATTGGCTTTGGCATCTTCCACAGCTTCTTGACAAAGCTCAATTCCAGTAACTTTCTTCACTTTCTGCAAGACAGAAGCAGCAACGTGTACATTGCACAAAACATAAGCACACTAGGTAATTCCAAGCAACACCATGTGTGCTTTGTAGAATCTCTGCTCTGGCAGTTTCTGAAGCAAACTTTACAATGGAGGTCCTGGCCAGCCTTGTGTTCAGCTGCTCTTGAACTGCCCATGTTTTTTTTTTAATCTCAGACATTTTAATGTTACCACCCCTTTTAGACACCAAGTTAATGTCCTAAATCCATAACTTCAATGCAAGAGGGGAAAAAATTCAAAGTTTTGAACCTTCCAGGAAAACCCTTGAATTTAACTATGTACTCATATAGTCAGGTGGACAGTGCAGTGGTTTAGATATCTGGCTGCAGAGCCAGAAGTTGGGAGTTCGATTCCCCATTGCACCTCATGGGAGAAGAGGAAAGCTGCACAGTTCCAGAGTGCCCTCAGAGGAAGGGAATGGGAAATCACGTCTGTGTATTCTCTACCTGGAAGATGTTGAAAAGAGTTGCCATAAATTAGAATCCATTTGATGGCACAAGATTGATTATAGCCCGGTAGTGTTCTGGGTATTATCTGTCTCTTAACAACAATAAGGATTCTGAAGCTAGACTATTTCTTGGGAACACGAAATAGACGACTCAGTTTCCTTGACACTGAATATGTTATTTTTACCTTGGCAAGCGAAATTCCAATTGTTCCAGTTCCACAGCAGACATCCAGCACGGTTGTGTCTTGGTCCACTTGAGCCCAGTCCTGAATGACCGAGTACAGAACCTCAGCAGCCAGTGTGTTTACCTGTGAAATTCCAGTGTTCATATAATAGTGTCAGAATCCAGCAGAAGCAGATCAAAGCCCCAAGAAAGCTGCCGTTGTCAAACAGAACCCCCAAGGCAAGTGGGGACTGAATCTCCTGCACAGTATTTAAGATGAAGTTGTATCTATAAAAGCTTACTTTAGAACATGGGTACATCATGCAAAAGAGTGTCACACCAGTGAATCCTTTCAAACACACTCTACAGCAGGGGTGTCCAACCGTTCACCTTCCCTGGGCCACATTTTAAGATGAAAATTTGGTTTGGGCCGCACATAAATTTGGTTTGGGCCGCATGGGGGGGCAGCCCTAGCCATCCTCCGCAGCCTTGCTCCAAGCGCGCTTACTGGCAGCTGCGATCTCAGAGGGCAGAGGCTGCCAGCTTTGATTCCAATGGCTTTATGGGGCCAGGAGGGGATCCAATTATTGATGGAGACGGTGCAATGCAGTCACACAGCCCCCCTCTCCCCTCCCTTCTGCTCCTTCCTTCCCCCCCTCTCTCCTCCCCACCGTTGTGATGTGCCCCAGCCACATTCTGGCCGCAAGCACCGGCAGTGTAACTTGAAACTTTGGAATTTCTTTAAAAATAAAAAGTTGCACTGGGCCGCATTATGAGCCGACCCGGGCCGCATGTGGCCCTCGGGCCGCAGGTTGGACAAGCCTGCTCTAGAGGCTAAGGAGGAGCAATATACAAAATAGAACCTGGATGAGATCTGACAATGAACCATGGCTTCTTGTCACATCTAATTTGGACCAGTCTCTCTACTTCATAAGCAGGAGTGGAACCTCCCTATGAAAGCACAGACACCCTTTGATCAAATACAGTGGTGCCTCGCTTAACGAGCGCTTTGTTTAACGATGAATTCGCTTAGCGATGACTTTTTCAGAGCATTTTTGCGCTCCGTTTAACAATGGTCCCTATGGGCGATTTTTGCTTAGTGATGTTGGAACCATGCTTCGCATAACGATTAAATTTTTGGGTCCCCTGTTTCGCTTAACAATGGTTTAAACAGCCTCATGTTTGCTGTTTTTTAAATGTTATAAAGTTAAAGTTTACTGTTTAAAATGTTTGAAATCATAAAGTGCACTTAATAAACCCTTTATTAACCCAATTTGACTTTGTTCTGACTCTTTTTTAATTTGTTGTTGAATTTTTTCCCTCATTGAGATGCATTGAATAGGTTTCAATACATTTCAATTGGGGAACTGTGTTTCACTTAGCGATGTTTCCTATGGCAATTTTCGCTTAAGGACGGCAATTCGTGCCTATTGGAACGGATTATCCGGTTTTCAATGCATTTCAATGGGAAACCGCGTTTCGCTTAGCGATGTTTTCACTTAGCGATGAATTTTTTTGAACCAATTAAAATCTTTAAGCGAGGCACCACTGTACCCCTCTCTGGTATCCATTGAAGGGAGCTCAGGTCCGAACTGTGTCTCCTGGAGAAGGCCAGCCAAGACCATATGTAATACGTAGGGCAGATGGGATTACATGCCCTGCCACCTGTGCGGACTTGGCAAGATGTATGGTTGTCACAGCAAGACCAGAAAGAAGGACTGCTAAATTATGTCTGAGTATACATTTTAAAAATGCACAACTGTAAAAGGAATGATATTTGCACATGAACTACTTCATTACCTATGTCATATCTGAAACTAGGTGTGTACATAACAACACTGTTTTCTGACAATGCTGTATCTGACCCTCCAGTCAAATAAGTTTTTAAAATCACACAAGTGTAGATAACACAAGGCACAAGGTTTCTGACAATGCTGTATCTGACCCTCCAGCCAAATAAGTTTTTAAAACCACACAAGTGTAGATAACACAAGACACAAGGCCTTTTGGTGCCCTTCTGCCATAAGACAGATGCTACTACCCTGTTTCCGCGAAAATCAGACAGGGTCTTATATTAATTTTTGCTCCAAAAAACGCATTAGGGCTTTTTTTCAGGAGATGTTTTACTTTTTTCATGTACAACAATCTACATTTATTCAAATCCTGAAAAATCATACTAGGACTTATTTTCAGGTTAGGTCTAGTAGGTAGGAGGACCTCCATATCTGCAGGATCAATACCCACAGTTTCACTTACAAAAGTCTGAAATTGCTGCAGGATCAATACCCACAGTTTCATTTAGAAAAGTCTGAAATTGTTAAAAGAAAAAACCCAGAATTATGTATTTCCACAATGTAATTAGCAGCACTGGCCACTATAGAGAGCCAAACACCATTACACAAATCTATGTGTAAGGTTTGCTATTTTCCAGTTTTTTTGCATCCGTAAGTGGGTTTGCAATCAATCCACCGTGGATATGGGAGTCTTACTGTACTATATAATGCCCTCCAATTCTCAGTTTCACAAATTCCTTTTTGACTATTAGGGCAAACAGATTGGTAGTCTTTGTCATAGCAGTGAAAATGCTATGCAATCCACCGGCGACTTCAACTGATAGAAAACATTTTAAGCATAATACTGTTAGAAGTTTACTTGGAAAAAGGCATGGGGAGAAATTCGGAACTTCATCCCAAGAAGATCTTCATATATGTATTTATCACCAGCAATGTGCTCCAAGGTTAAATCTTCACGATTGGGTGATTTTCTGGAGAAGTGGGAGGGAAATGAAAGTGAGAAGATGTGGGTGGGGGATGGGGAGATAAAACAATTTTGAACCATGATCACCGCTGTACAGTATATCCCTAATCTGCTCAATTTTGTCCAGGTGCCTGTATGGACAATTGAGACAGAAAAGCTTTACAGTATTTTAAAAAAACTGTATTACTCAAAATAGGTTTCGGTTTGCTATTTTCCAGTTTTTTTGCATCCGTAAGTGGGTTTGCAATCAATCCACCGTGGATATGGGAGTCTTACTGTACTATATAATGCCCTCCAATTCTCAGTTTCACAAATTCCTTTTTGACTATTAGGGCAAACAGATTGGTAGTCTTTGTCATAGCAGTGAAAATGCTATGCAATCCACCGGCGACTTCAACTGATAGAAAACATTTTAAGCATAATACTGTTAGAAGTTTACTTGGAAAAAGGCATGGGGAGAAATTCGGAACTTCATCCCAAGAAGATCTTCATATATGTATTTATCACCAGCAATGTGCTCCAAGGTTAAATCTTCACGATTGGGTGATTTTCTGGAGAAGTGGGAGGGAAATGAAAGTGAGAAGATGTGGGTGGGGGATGGGGAGATAAAACAATTTTGAACCATGATCACCACTGTATATCCCTAATCTGCTCAATTTTGTCCAGGTGCCTGTATGGACAATTGAGACAGAAAAGCTTTACAGTATTTTAAAAAAAACTATTACTCAAAATAGGTTTCTTGGCTATATATTTCAGATATTTTCTAGCTGTATATTTAAAATGAAAGATCACACGCAGTTGAACAAGCTCAAGCAATGGCAATGTTCATGGATCTGCAGGCGACAAATACTAGCAGCTGTATTTTGAAATTAATATGCATGGTGTATGTAGATCCAATACCTTTTCACCGTTATGTTCTTGAAAGAACTGCCTGGAGCAACAGCTTATTAATATGACAAACTTTTAAATTTTGGGAGGAATAATTAGTTCTTTCAATCTATTTGGCCACTATGGAAAAAGGAGGTGAATTTTCTTGGTCTTGCCCAGCAGCATTTTAATGAAACTTGGTATGCTTAATAAATTGCTAGTTAAGTGTTTCCATAAACCTTGGGGCATTTAATAGACTGCTGCTTAGCACTTCAACTAATTCACGGTGATTTTGAGTGCATCATCAGGCTCTATATATTGGTTTAGGTATCCTTGCAAGCAGCTGCAGGTATTCCCAGAGTCTTAAAACATTGCTACCCAGGTGTTTATTTTTGAGACCCGATGCTCACCTTTGACCCTCTTCAACAAAATACAAGGAAGTTATCCCACTGTCTTTTCCAGGGCCTTCGGTGAAATACTTTGCCAAAGAGGCCTGCAGTTCAGTCAGCTCTTCTTTACTTAATTTCTAAGGATGTCAGAAGGGAGAAAGATCCGAGCAGCTTAGCAAACCAATAAGCGTCCAAGAAAGCCATTGTTCTTTGCAAGCAATAAGCAGCCTAAGGAATGTACTGTCCCAACGCAGCTCTGAAGGAAGGTTTCCCTAAGGAAACTGCTGTAGGAGGTTTCATATTCAACAGTCCCGAGCCACCAGAATTTTAAAATCATATGACGTACCTGGGGATTGAAATAAGCAATTGCCATGATGTGGCCATTCCTACTGGTGCGGACGGTGAGCTGTTTCCAGTTGCCTTCATAGGTTTCTGGGCTATAGACACTATAGGGTGTAGACCTGCAATTTTAAACATAATGGGTTACTAAATCAAAATGTTAAAAAAGTACAGTTGTATAACACTGAAACTATTTCTGCTGCATTGAATGAAATAGATTCTGGATAGTCAAGATGCAACTGCCTGGTGGCCCTTCCTGTTTGTCTCTAATAAAACGTTTTCTTCTCTGGAGTTCCAGATGTAATGTTCAGAGTATGATAAGTGCATTATATGTACCTTGTTTATTTTCACAGTGATCTGTTCATATCACTGTCATAAAGGATTCTGTGTGCAATAAGTTTCAAGTTCTTCAAATGTTTTCTCCGTTTATCTTAGAAAGAAAACGCATTCTAAGATCAAAAGGCTCTCACTTGGATTTCCTGGCGTCCTTTTATCCGACAGGCCAGTGATTAGCTTTGTAGCAAAGTCTGGATTCACTTATATAGGACTTCAAAAGGGTATGTGGCAAAGAACAAGAAAACAGATTTATTTAGTTAGTTAGTCAATCTATGCCCCACTTTCTCCTTTGCAAGACCTAAGGTGACTTGCAAAAAATATATATTTATAAACAGGTGTAATCAAGAAGCAACAAGTGATTTCTTCTCCAGGGGATGATCACTTTGGACATCAACTCCCAGAAGTTTTAGCTAACACCGCTACTTGAAGGCTTCTGAGAATTGTAGTCCAACAGCATCTAGCCCAAGTTTGAGGCAGGAATAGACAAAAGCAATGGAGATGGTGTTAAAGGGTAGAGGAATATGCTACTACTGTTTACGCTTAGGGGCAGCAGTAAATAGAAGAGAAGCTTCTCCCTTTGATAAAAACAAACTAGAAGTGTTAAACTACAAGTCCCACTATCCCCACCACATCCCTTTTTGAGCAGGCACAGCCTAATTCCCCATCATCCAGCGCAACCGAGACTCACCTTATGTAATCCTGAAAAGCCTTCACCACCTTTTTCGCAACACCAGGGATGTGGATCGTATCAAACGGTTCCACTACCGCACAGGTCCCGCCCTTGTATTTTCCAAGGCGAAAACCCACTGTTTTATCTTCTTGATTTGGACCCATGCCAATCAAAAATTCACATTTGTTGCGATATGCCGTCTAAACTTAAAGGAAAGGAAGCTTTAGAACAATCTATTCCACGCCTCTTCAGATTTTCCGTGCTTCTTTCCTTCCATCATTCTGAGGTACAGTTGTGCCCCGGTTGATGATTACCCCGCATTACGACGAATCCACTTCATGACAAAGTTTTTACAATCACAAAACGATGTTTTAAAATAGGGTTTTTTCGCTTTGCGATGATCGGTTCCCTGTTTCGGGAACCGATTCTCTGCAAAATGATGTTTTTTAAACAGCTGATTGGCGGCTTCAAAATGCTCACCGGCTTTCAAAATGGCCCCCAGTTGTTTTCTAGGGATGGATTCCTCGCTATACAGGCACCGAAAATGGCCGCCGTACGGAGGATCTTCGCTGGATGGTGAGTTTTCAGCCCAATGGAACGGCTTTCAATGGGTTTTTTAATTTTGCATTACGATGTTTTCGCTTAACAGCTATTTTCCTGGAACAGATTATCGTCGTTAAGCAAGGCACCACTGTAAATTGAGCACCCTGCTTACTTGGGAAGGGCAGTGTGAAGCCCGCATAATTAAATTATAACCCACTCACCCTGAGGGTGCTTTAAGCATTATGGGGCAATATACAAGCAGCACAGTTTGCTTCCCCCCCTTCTTTTCTTCCACTGTTACAGAATTCTGATCAGATGGCATTTTAAAATTTTGCAAAAAAATTTGGGCTGACTTTCTTCTTGTGTGAAAAATTGTACGGATAAAAACAACCGTATTCTGCAGCATGAAAGGTTTTAATGACTATGTGGTGGGCAACAGATGTTGCAGGGATTTGAGAATATAGCATCATCCTAAATCCATACTGGATCCTAATAAGCGATAAGACAAACATCCAATACACTAGCTATAAAAAGGAATTGGGTATATCAGGCATTAACCTAGTTAGTTATATTATCAACCGTTATGGGTTGCATCCTGTGTCCGGGATGCACACAATAGCCACATATCTTAAGAGTCCGTTGCGAAAAATATATTTTCGAATACACACATTAAATTTTGGGAGTGCATCACATTGTACTTTCCCAGAAAATCCCATAAAAATAAAAGTAGATCAAACATATAAAGGAAGCACTTGTCAACATGGCAGATTTTAATGATCTGTTGACTGAAATCATCAGTTTTGAAACACTTCTCCCCATAGTCTACCACTAAGCTACATTCACCGAGAGGTGCTGAAAACATGTTAAGTTCAGGGATGTCTAGTTCTGCTGGATAATGGCTTCTGAATCCAATCTTGTCCCTTTTTCTTGACATCTTGTGCTATTTCTTTAATCGTGTTTTCAAACACGGTTCAACTTGAAATGATTTTGTCTGGTGGCTTGCAGCAAGCAAGAATCTAGGTGACTGAATACAGAACAGTTTGTGAGATGGAAATGAGACATGGATCATGAGCAGTGGTGCTGAGTTAACAATTTTGTATGTGTGTGTTTAAGCACATGTGTGCCATCCCTGAGAGTGAAACCTTATAGACACAATATTTATACTGGGGTGAGCCCTCCAGATGTGCCTGACAATGGGAGCTCTCCACCAAAAGCATCTTGAGCCATTGGTGCCTATTCCTAATTTTCATGGTGCTCTCCCCAAAGCATCGTGAGTACATCATTGATTTACCCAGTACAGTGGTGCCCCGCATAGCGACGTTAATCCGTTTCGGATTAATCGTTGCTATGCAGAAACATTGCTAAACGGATCAAAAAAACCCATAGGAACGCATTAAACTTAGTTTAATGCATTCCTATGGGGCCCAAACTCACCGTTCAGCAAAGTTCCTCCATAGTGCCGCCATTTTCGCGCCCTCGGTAAGCGAGGGCACAGCAAGAAAACACTTGCGGCGGCCATTTTGGGCACCCGGCGGCCATTTTGGAACAGCCGATGAGCTGTTTAAAAAAACATCGCAATGCGAAGATCGCTAAGCGAAACGCTTACCGATCATTGCAATGCGAGTTTTTGCCTATGTAAACATCACAATGCGATCGCTTTTGTGATTGCAAAAGCGACATCGCTATGCGGATTCATTGTTAAACGGTGCGCTCGTTAAGCGAGGCACTACTGTACAGTACTCCTGACAGCCTCTTCTATTAAACCAAGAAGAGGACACATTTTTGTAGCAACAACTCCTGACAGCCTCTTCTATTAAACCAAGATGACACATTTTTGTAGCAACACAAGCTATCAGATTGAAGATACCCATCCCAGTATTGCTGGATAGCTCCATAGTTTAGTTATCTGGCTGTGGAGCCAGAGGATAGGAATTCAATTCTCCACTGTGCCTCCTGCCAGCACAGCCAACCTGTGTAGCCTTGGGCAAGCTGCACAGTCCCAGGATACCCATATAAGAAGGGAATAGCTACCCACTAATGAGGGCTCTCTACTTAGAAAACCCCGAAAAGGGTCACCATAAGTCAAAGTTGACATGACGGCGCACAATTACTATTATTGTCATCCCAGAATTACAAGATACTAATTATGCTAAGCATGACTATAAATGCAGAAGTACAATTTATACCCTCGCCCTATTACATGATGTTGCAACCATTCTTGCTAAGCACAACCTGCAAGGGGGAAGCCTTCACCCCCTCCAGGGGAGAACACAGACCGTCGTACTTCTCCTTCTGCACAAACAGCCACGGGAGAAGAGCTCGGTTGTTGTTTCCAACTTCTCTGCAAAACAATTTTAAAACATGTTCACTGGATTGACAGAAAAAGAACAGATGAACATCGGTCGTTTCAAACCACAAACATCGCCACCAGTATCCACAATCTACGAAGCACCTTGAACGGATAATGTGCGGGGCAGTGATTTTTAACTGACACCAATCCAGTGGGCCTACTCGAGTTGTGATTTACGATGATAGAGTTAAGTCACAAGTAGAGTAGGCCCATTTGAATCAATGGAACCAGCAGAGGACCGGACGCCCCAAATCCCCACAGATTCAATGGGCCTACTCTAGTGCAACATACCATGCTAAGCAGCAAGATTTCAGGCAGAGTCTCACTGTCCACCAACTAGGATACTGTGCAGTAAAAGCTTAAATCCAGTGTTGTTTGGAATCCCCTCTCCTTCCACTTGTCCCACCTCCAAAGACTCCTGAAAACCAGTCTCTGTT